GAATTGGAAATCTTGAAGGAAAATGGGTTTCCCCGAGAAATAACAGAACAACCGGCTAATAAATGACTTCAAAGAAAAGGCACAACCAAGTTAGATTCTGTTTGTGGAGCAATGAATGAGCATAAGCTATATATGAATACATGAAAATTAGAATAAATATAAATAGATATAATTGACAAACAACAACTAGCGTAATTTCTCCTCTCAGCAGGAACCACTTGGCTTAAATTGCCAGATAATAAAATCCACTAAAGGTAATAGATTGTAGCATGAAGCTTCCTTAATTCATCCCTCAATGAAATTGTGTATTACTACTAATTTTCACAGGAGATAGATATTCAAAACAGATGCAGGTCTTGCAGAAAGTGTATCAGGTATATCGATCATGATCTGAACATTTCAATCGAAGATTCTAAAGGAGAGATCACTGGGAAAACACCGCGCTGAAAGTCAATCAGTACTCAGCTCTTAACCTTGCAGAAGAACTCTAATTAAAGTCGAAAACCCTAATCTCATGTTCAGAACTTCAGATCGACACAAACGCATGGCAAAAAGCACAAGAGAGAAAGAAATAACAATAGGCATATATACTGAGATTGATGCAAGATCGATCCAAGCAATACAAACACATCCAATGAACATATCATTAAATCACCATGGACAGTAAAGGTAGATGGAGACACATCGACAAACACATGTGGGCTATGCACGCATGCCCATATCGCATGCAATTAACCCATGCTCTCCTATCTAGAAGGGAGCAAAACAAAGCTTCAGATCAGGAATGAGCCTACCACTTGCATCAGTAAATCAAGAAAATAACACCAAGCCAATCCCACTCTTTTGCTTTCATAAGCCCCGCAGAAGTCTAAAAGCACATACTTGAGATCTAGGACATGATGAAGAACATGACCAATCAATATGCAACATATTTAGCAGTGAGTTCTGGTGTTCAGAAAAGCTAGATCTAGCAAGACCGACATACGGTAGATATAAGAGCCAGGGAAGAGACCAGGGGTGATGAGATAGAGGTGAAGAAGGAGGTATATATTGGGAGAAGAGTGGTCTGGTTAGTTGTTTTGCATCTTACAAGAGGGCATCTGCAGGAAGAGATGCTCAGGGGGAGTAGGTGGTGTCTGGTGTTTACCTGTGTGGTGGGTTGCTCTCTAAATTAGTCCTTTGTTGTGCCTAATTTGCTAATTGCAGCAGGTTGACCAATTCATTGTCTCTAGCTTAAACACTTGTCATTCTCTTGGGTTTTTTTAGAACAATAATGTACCAATGGTGTATGAGTTAAGTGCACGGTTGATACAGTTTAATATGGCACCGACAGGCAGCCCCCAAGTCTAATATAGGTAATTACTACTGGCTGGAGCATTTCATGCCTGCCTTAGGCTCCATCTCGCACTGTGGTGTATTATGATAATCTTCTTCAACAAAGGGTGTTTTTTATTGACTCATGATGTCGCATCAAGTGGGTACAGACACAACGAATACATACATTACCTTTGCACGACTAGGGTGCACACAACAAACAAGGAAAAAGAAAAAAGAGGAGGACTCATAAGGTTCTGGGCTGCAGCAGTGCATCAACTAATGCCACCCGTTGAAAACACCCGGACGATGACAAGGTTCCCGAACAACGACGCCTTTGAGCAAGGAGATGGTGCATGAATACCGTCTTCGCAGGATCCAACCACATATGCTAGATCTTGGTATTTACCTAGAAGAGAAAGATTGAGTAAGCTCCATACAATGCCTTCAACAAGAGAATGTAAACAGCCACTAATAGATGAAGACTTGAAACCTAGGGTTTTTCACCTTGAAACTTGAGAACTGGTACTCGAAGAGCACCACCATAGATGAAGTCCCTTGGGTTGCTGCCACCAACTTGCAAGAGAATAATTCATGCTGCAATGTCCCGAGCAACACCGGAAATGCATATCAGAGTGAACTCCACGCATCGGGTATTTGCTGAGACGCCAGATCTGCCAACGCGACAATGTCGAACATGCTAACACCTGCACCTATGTGGGGCACACCCCGACCATCATCAGAGCACAATGGATATCCACCAGAGACGGGTCGTCATGCGGATGGGAGACATGGGGTAGCATGATGTGCGAAGCCTGACGACCAAGTCTTGTGCACCACCACCGCATGTGCCATGCCGACGGATGGCGACTAGAAGGAGGCCGATGAGCAAAGCCAAACAGGGTAAAGAACATGCACTCCTCCTCGGTCACATCGGTTGGGGACCAAGACGGGAAGCCAGACATCACCTGATCAAGTCAGTCGAGATTCGCCTGACCAGCGCTCAAACGTGACATGTCACAAGTCACCGTCCAAATGCCCACCAACAGTGGCACGCCTCTCATGCACTCAGCCATCCACTGCCTTTGCTGGAGATCACCAGAGCGCAACTATGGCGTCGGCCTTGCTGCCCCAGCTGCCGAACATGGGGAGGCCAGATCCAGCCGTCCCAACACCCATATACCGCAACACAACCACATCTCCACCGACCAACAAGCCAGCGCAGTTGCGACTATAGCGCGCATCCCACAGCCAGCAGAATTCGTGCCCACTGCCATCGGAGCACTACCTATGCCGCCAACACACCACCAAAGACCCGCGAGGGCACTACCTCCCTAGTTCTCCGCAGGACCGAGCACCACACCACGGGAGAAGCCCCTAGTTGCCGCCCTCAGTGCACGGGCTTTGCCCAACGGTGGCTACCGGCGATGGTGAGGGGGGAGGTGTAGGTGACAGGGTGGTGGCGGCGCAACTAGGGTCGTCACCCATGTCGCAAAAACCCTGAGGTTTTCTCACTTGTCCTGTCATATTAATTTTTAACACGGTACAGACGCAAGCGCTCATATATACGCCCCTATGAACGCACATGCACACCCTACCCTATGAGCACCTCCGCGAGACTAAGCCGGCATGTCATCTTGAGATTTTACTTAGTCACTGTAGGCACCTCGTCGTCGACGGGAACGTCTCCTCCCACTGAACGCGTATTGCCGGAAATCCTGAAATAAATTCAGGATAAATGCGAGCACCGGAATTTGAACCCTGGTGGGCTAGGGATACCACTGCCCTCCTAACCATCCAACCACGGGTTGGTTTGTTGTCCTGCCATATTATGATAATCTCATTTTTCTAACTAACTTTTGCCTATTTACCTTTTGACTAATCAACTTTTTCATGTCTTCGTGGTCATTTTGCCACAACATATTGTAAGATAAGTTCAGAACAACACACTTCAGCAACCGCAACCCGTGCGTTGGTAGATCAATATTTTTCCCAGCCTTTTTGGCACGGGGATCACCAGTAGGCCAGAAATAAGTAAGTACCATTTCACAAGAAATGGAAGAGTCCGCCAAATCAACACCTCGGTTTTTGGATATCATCTTATTTTCCTCCTGTGGGAAAATTGCTTCGTGTTTAGGGATGGAAACAATAATCAAAGATTGATAAAATATTCCAAATACTCTCGCAAAGTCCATCTGTGAAGTGTACGCAATTTAATGAAAATACAAATTTATTTTTAAATCATCGTTGTAACTAAAAAAAGGGTACCCAGTGTTGAAAGCACCCACACAAGATGAGGTTTGGGGAAGGGAATTTCTAGACGACCTTACCTTGTATAATAATTCTGCAAGGAGGCTGGTTCCAACCCAGGACCTCCAGGCCACTCAGTCCGTCCATCAAAATCAACCTTGTGACTGGTCAGAAAAAATAGCAAGCGGTCTATCATGAACAGTGCACCATGTTTTAAAAGATTAAAATCTTAGTGTCCAGGGTCTAAAATACTAACCTTCTCTCGAAATTATGACGGAAACTAGAACATGGTAATGGTATGTGGCAAGAGCCAAGAAATGGCGAGAAGGAAATACTTGGGGAATAGTATCTGCTCTCAGACTAAGGCCATGTTGGCTGACTCACCTTGTTGGGGAGATCTCAAAGTAACAAGCATCTACCTGAACAGAACAGTAGAAAAGTACATCTTGGTTATGGTATCACACTAGTTTTTGCCATGGTTGGAGGTTATTTTAGTGCACCACTGAAGTTACTTTCTCTCAGCTTTAAAACAATATTCGGTGAGTAGATGCAGTTTTCAGGTGTGCTGCGCGAAAGTTTAAAATGTACTGCCTCCGTCCCAAATTATAAGACGTTTTGTTACACTGTTTTAGCCTACCAAAACATCTTATAATTTGGAACAGAGGAAGTAGCATTCTGAACTTGCTTGACTTGTATGATGAAGAACATTAGAGTTGGAGAGAATGGAGATGGATTCAGCTGACCCATCAGGCGGATCAAGTGTCTTGGCTTTTGGAAAATCTGTAAAGTTTTCTGTTAGGTCTATGTGGAAGTATATTCACAGGCAGGCTTTCAGGCCATACTGTACACACATTTACAAAGCAGCAAAAAATCCAGTGAAGATGTAACTTTTTCGTGCAAATGAAGATGAAAAATTACAGCTGGTGAATAAGAACCTGAGACGGTGCAAAGTAAAGATTCGTTTCTTCTATTTGGTATCAAAATTGCTCCACACACAATAGATTGTGGCTGATTTATGCACGACCAAACAATCGAGCGGACATTGCACGGCTGTGCACAAGATTCCTTGGCTGGATTTTATCGTCGTGCGCTGATCGTTCAAGTTTTGTCGTCGGCCTAGCATTGCTCATTTGGTATACGAGTTCACAATTTTTCTGATGATTGTCAGCATGCTCCCCCCACCCCGTGCGGATTACTAAACCCACAGGAGATAATTTTCTTCACAAGAAACCATGGCAAGGTTAGTAAAACCATAACAATATTATGCTCCCAGCGCCACTGCTGACATGCTATATCACTTTGAAGTGCACTGGAATGCGTTCTGTATTTTCCAATAAAACTGGGACTGCATACAGATACCACACCGAGAAATGTTCAGATACAGGGCGATTCAGAATCAGTGGCTCCTGAACACTTCAGGTTCAGGAAGATGCTTCTCACATGCCAAGGGAAACCCTGAGACACGCCTTCGGGAGCAAGCTGTGTAGCCTAGCAAAAAAAAAAGTGCCAGCACAATCTCTTGAAACAGATTTTTGCCCCACCATGTCGTCCATGTAGCCTGAAGCCTGAACAACACAGGATAATAAAAAGTAGTAAATGTAATGTGGAACTATTGCTGAATTTTGGCTATGTCCTGCTTCTTAATTTTCCTTTTCAAATTAGCAGTATTTGGGCTGTATGATGTTGCTCATTTTTTATGTGAATTGGCAGTATTCTCAGTGTTGTATTAGCTGACCGAAACTGCATAGGAGTCAGCCGTGTACCAGAAAATATAGCATGATCCCCAGCATGCTTGAACTACAAGGTCAGTTTTATTTCACTGTAGAATCTTTGATTGGTTTGGCATTGGCTGGTTTTGCTCTGCCGGCTGCCGCCGCATCGTCAAAGGAAAGAAGGGAGACAAGGCCAAAACAGGAGGAGCCAAAACAGGAGCAGTTAACTAGACCCACCCCATCAAGCAGACGTGGCAGTCGTCCAACGCCGCACAAGCAAAACCATCTGCAGAAACCACTATAATCAGAGCGAGGGGGTGATTTGACTGGTATTTGAGACCTCAGGGGGTTACTTAACTGGTTTTAGAGCTTAGGGGGTGAATTAGCCGATTTGTGAAACCCCAGGGGGTGATCTGGATTTCTTTCTCTCAAGGCTGACGTCACATTCTCCATTTCTGAAAGATAAAAGCTACAGTAATACACAAAGGTACATTTCAGTGAGCAAAAGCAAGAAGTGCATTTTGAATGAACTGTCACAGTTGTTGTGTTCCTTACATAGTGTTGTCTGTTCACATTTTATGTCTGAACCCGTCTAAGAGAGTGGACAACAGCAAAGATGAAAGGAAAGAGAAACAACATTCTGATGCTACACGGCTAAATCACTGGAAGCAAATCACAGTACCCTAAACAATGGTGAAGATAGATATACCCTACAGGTTGGCGTGCGGACAACAAAACGTAAATGGAAGAAATACAGAAGCAAACACCCCACGTCCCCTATGGGACCACCCGCTCTCTAGTTGTCGACGACGAGCTTCCGCCGCTTGTAGTTGACCATTACCTCGCCCTTGATGCCGACGACCATCGCATTCCAGTCGTTCTCAGGGAACGGTGAGACCAGCTCAAACTCAAAGTTCCTCAGGAGGTGTGTCCATATCGCCTTGATCTGCAGGTACGCGAAGGGCTCACCGAGGCACCCGTGCCTGCCACCCCCAAAGGAGATGTACGAGAAGGCACCCGCAACCTTGTCCTCCTCCCTCCCAGCCGCAAACCGGTCAGGGTCATACGAGTCCGGGTTCTTGAAGATATGGGGGAGCCTGTTAGCGAAAGCAGGAGATGTTGCGACAATGTGGCCCTTGGGGATATCAAACTCTTTGCCTTCCCTCGTGGTCACGCTGAAGTCAGAGTGTGATTGGCGAAGCAGCATGATCAGCGGCGGGTGGAGCCGGAGCGCCTCCTTGATGCACCGGTAGAGGACATCCATCTCTGCCAAGATGTCATGATCGATCTTGTCACCATGCCTCTTCATGACCTCCTTCTGCTCCTCTACAGCCTCTGCAAAGTACTGCTGGAACTTGAGCAGGTAGGCCCCAGTCCAGGTTGAGGTGATCGAGCTAGTGTGCTGTCCAGCAAACAGGGCTGCGATAAGTAGCCCAGTCACCTCACTTTCTGTGGTCTGGCGGCCATTCTTGTACTTGGAATCAATGAAGCACTGCAGCATGTCTTCCTCGGACTGTCCAGAGGCCTTGCGGGACTTGATGATGGTGGCGAAGATCTCCGCCAAACGTGTCCGTGCCTGGTCACGGCGACGGTGTGCAGGGATTGGGAGGTAGGGAAAGATGACACTGATTGGCTGCATCCCATTGTCAAGATCATGGAAGAGAGCAGAAACATCATCAAACAACTTTTCTCGCACTTCCCTTCCCAACAAGCATCGGCTAGCAGTCAGTATGATGAGGTGCTCCAATTCATACTTCAGATCCACAGTGCCGCTTTCTCCCCACTTTGAGAAGTACTCCTGCAGGTGGATTGGATTCACAGATGATATTAATCACCCAAAAAAATGGCCAGAACAAACGAACCTATACAACAACAAAAATAATTGAATAGCATATATGACTTATCTTGACAAACAAATTAAATGCTAGCATGGAAGAATAGCAAATGTTAAATCAAATGTGGAGCAACTGATTGAGAAGATGACCCATGTTATTTGTGCAAACTCTTTGTTTACTATTAGGATGACAATGATTTCTATAAAAAATATCATACTGGTCATATAGCAGCATAGGCTGTATAGAAAATGTAGCAAACCTTGTCATTGTAAATAAGGGTGACAATCAGTATTATGAAACTAGTTGCAAGGGAGGTGAGATTCTGCAGATCTCCCGCTGCAGTATGTGTACAGGTGTATACTAACAAACCATGCTGTTCATGTTAATGCTTACATAAAACTTGTTCTGTTTCAGCAGCGAGTTCATAAGGAGTCCTTAAATGCAGGCCCGAGTCAAGCTTTTTACAAGGTTCTGATCAGAAGTGCACACTTACATTTCCATACAACTTTGCAAGACAAGTTAGACCGACTGTTGGTTGTGCAGGATGCCAAAATTGGAGCAAGCATAGTTCAATAAACTACGACGATAAATGCTACTTACATAGAGAGAAATGGTTGACACTGTGATTCTAGTATCATACTATATCATAATTTTCACCTTTCAGACACAAAAATGCTAAAAAAAAAAGACACAAAAATGCTTGCAAAACAAGCAACTAGCCAACTAGGCACTGGAATAACAAGCTTCAGTTATGGTACTCCAGTGCTACTATTGTATTGGAGAACTTGCCGCAAGCATTGATTTCTCTTACTCACCACGGTTCGCTACAATTGTATTACCAAATATTTCCTTTGATCCAGAAATCCAGATATATCAAACCTATGCATGCAACACATTATTCTAAGTTCTGATCATACGCGAAATGCATATTTGCATTCAAATGAATACTGGTGACCGAGCAGGCCACTGGAATCATCAAAATCCCCACTGATATTTATCTTCAATTAACATAAGCATCGGCAAATTAGGCACATCAAACATCCTACATCTTCCTTTGCTAGCGCATTCCATAGTAAGGATAAAAAGTCACATACGAAGTGTTGTTTTCCCCTCTGACTATGATGCACTCATTCAAACCCAAGAAGAAGCATCTCACTTGAGAATTACGTACAAAACAGGGGAAGGAAGGAAGGAAGAGAATAGAGCTGACCTCGGCCTCGGCAACCATCTGGTCGACGTAGCTGCGGAGCTTGTTGGCCCTGAGCGCCTCGGTGAAGAACCTGAACTGCTCCTGCCTGACCTGGTAGTCGACGTCGAAGACGACCCCGGGGCCGAAGGTGGGGACGTTGAAGCGGTAGACCTCCTGCTGGCTCATGTCGGACTCGTTGCTCTTGAAGAAGTGCGCCGAGACGTCGGGGCCGATGAGGAAGGTGATCCGGCGGGTGAGGATGGGGACGGTGAAGACGGGGCCGAGGCGGGCGTACTCGGCCCGGATGAGCGGGATGGGGCCCCGCAGGAAGCGCAGCAGCCCGCCCACGACGGGCGCCCCCGGGATCATCGGCGGCGCCCGCCTGCCGCCGCCGCCGGGGCCGAGGAGGACCCTGAGGAAGGCGACGGTGGCGAGCAGCAGCGCTGCGCCGGCGAGGAGCCACTGGGGCCGGGCGGCCGCGAGGAGATCCATCGCCGTGGCCTGGTGGAGAGCAGCCGGGGATGCTCGCGTGGGTTAGATCGATCGCAGAAATGGATAGAAAGAGGGTGGGAGGAGCTTCGGTTGTATCGAAGACACGACAAACTGGGTACGCACCTCGTCCGACGCACGATTGGGGGGCGGCCGGGCGGCCGGCGAGACGGGGTGGAGGGAGGATGTAGATCTGGGAGAGTGGAGTGGCGGAGAGGGGTTTATATAAGTGGGAGGGAGCAAAGATTCCTCCGGGGAGGGGTGGTGTGGGGATCGGGACGGGATGGGGGTTTACCGGGGGCGGAGCGGAAACAGGGGAGGGGAGGAGTGGTGGTGGAGGAGGATGAAGGAAGGATGCACGCACAGTCTGTATCTCGGGCCCCACATGGCTGTCTCTTGTGCGTGTCTGCTAGCTATGCTCTGCTGTTTCTAGTCGCCCAGGTGGACCTAGTGATGTGGAAGAAGACAGTTGTGCTCGGGATCCTCTGTGTTGGGGGGACTGGACGCTTTACTTGTGTCCACGGTCGCCTTTTCCTAGCATTAGCCGTCACCCAAGGATTCACTCCTCTCTCTCTCTCTCGTCCGGCGGCCTCGTCGGCAGCCAGAGCCCAGAAGGGTGGAGACCCACCTCATAGGTAGCCAGGAGAGTGGAGACTCACTCCTTTCATTTTTCAGTTTTACTGTTAGGTTCTTATTTCTTTTGGGGCATCTACGGCCGTCCGATTGGGCGGCCCTCAAACATATGTGGACGCGCCTAGTTAGTATCCGGATGTGTTTGTTTTGACTTCCTATTTGTCTGCACTCATATTTTTCACTTTTTTCTTTATAGGTACGCTCACATGCATATGATTGGTGAAGAAAGAGAGGGAAAGAAAAGAAATAATAAAGAAAGGAAAAAGGATGCTCCGTGGTGGGTCAAATCATACGCGGCGGGCGCAGGACCATTGACGTGACACTCTTCAGACTCATCCCATATACGAGGCCAGTATGAGAAGCGCCAGACAGCCCGGACATTTAAGGAGCTTTGAGGGGTCCAGTTAGGTCAAAAAAATTCCTTCTCTCATGTCCGGTTGGTGGCCTTGCGTCCGCCCAATTAATTTGGGGAGTCCGGCTCTATATGCTATTAGTTTTGATTTTGTGGTCGGGTCGACGAGATGATGGCGACGAGGACACTTCCTCTTAAATACTTCCTTCGTTCGGAATTAGTTGACGCACAAATGGATGTATCAAGCACTAAAATGCACCTAAATACATCCGTTTGAGCGTCGTCTAATTTCGGACGGAGGGAGTAGTTACAACCCATTAAGGGTATCTTCAACACTGATCCCCAAATTTTCTCCCGCATCTGTCCGCGGATAGGGGGTACTACTCCGTGGATATGGATACGGGAGCCAGCCATCCAATGTTACTCGCATACATTTCAAACAAGGTTTAAATAAACCGGACGTAATTCATGCAAATCCGACAAATTTCCATATAAACAGGAACACATTCATTACAATTAGGACATTTTTCTTTAAAAAGGGAGAGCGGCCGAACCTAAACCTATCATACGGCGACGCCCGTCGTCCACTTCCTTTGTATTCCGCATCGGCGACCACGTCCTCGCCGTCTCCATGAGCGCAGATGGGGTTTAAGACCCGTGAAGTGAAGGTCCGGTCTCCAGTGAGTAAGAGTAGGACATGGGAGACGGACCGACCCACTTGGGACATAAGGCCCTGCCACCTCAGACGCCCTACTCATCCCCAGAGGAGTCCGCGACCTATCTTCTGCCTGTGCTGGTGGACGTGAGGTCGATGTCGCACTATTGGTGGGGGCGGTGATAACCAAAAGAGAATGCATTGAATGGCATGGTGAAAATTGTGTGGCCGAAGTGCAAAGGAGGTATGGGGTTTAGAGACATCCACCGTTTTAATTTGGCTCTTCTAGCAAAATAAGCATGGAGGTTAATAGATAATCCAGATTCTTTGTGCGGTACTGTTCTGAAGGCAAAGTATTTTCCTGATGGAGATTTGCTCAATGCTAAATTAGAAAAGGGAGCTTCCTTCACTAGGCAAAGTATTATGGCAGGGGTGAACACTCTGAAACATGGGTGCATCTGGAGAGTGGGTGATGGGCAGAAATCAATATATGGGATGACCCATTGATTCATGGTTCATGTAACATAAAAGTTGTTATTGTACATGGCAACCATATCATATCAAAAGCAAAGGACTTGATTGATCCTAGTACTAACCAGTGGGATGAGGAATTGGTGAGGAAAACCTTCTAGCAGGTGGATGTTCACTAAAGCTTAGCCATTCTACTTCTCAATTATGATGTGGAGGACTTTGTTGCATGGGGTATGACAAAAAAATTAGGTTTTCCATGAAATCTGCATATTATGTTGACTGGGGTCACAAATTTGGGGGTAACCTACGTCGACCAAATGGACAAGGAACAATGCATGTCGGAAGTGTGTGGCAAAGAATTTGGAGCTTGGACTGTTCGACAAAGGTAAAAATATTTGTCTGGAAAACTCTTCATGGAACTTTACCTTCACTATAAAAAAAGACACATCCGTGACATTTTGGGCCGAACGAATTTTTTTCTGTCATGCTTATGACACTTCTATGACGATAATTGTGACAAAATCCGGTATCATCATAGATGTGGCGGGCTCCTAATTTTATGACAAAAAATCATGACAAAAAATGGGATTTTCGTCTTGGGCGGGCCGGAGACGCGGCTGCATGACATTCTTTGGGCCGTCCATGACGGGAAAAACCGTGGTAGAAGCGAGGGCGAGGAAAATATCGGGGAGTTCCCGGTTACGATAGGTGGTCGGGGCCGAGCGATGCGCGTTTCTCTCGTACACGTACGCGCGTGGGTGCGAGGCGTTGGGCTCTAATTAAACTCGAGCAAGGCGTTCGCCTACTGAACCCAAGCGATTGCACTGCAAGCTACGTGTTACTGAACTCAAGCGATCGATCGATCTGGCTGTTAACTGAATCCGATCGAGCGATTCCTTCACTACTGCTACTAACTGAAGCTGATCGAACCTGCTGCCTCTTGATGAACAGTGAGTGTTGTTGGGGGTTTGGATGAACAGTTCCCGATGGGGGTTGGATGAACAGGACCCCGTGGTAGTAGAGGCCATTGCCGCTAGATGAACAGGATCCCGATCGAGCCGGTTGGAGGTGGATGAATAGGACCCAGTGGAGGGCTGGATGAACAGTAGCCCGTGGAGGGGTGGTTGAACAGGACCCCGTGGAGAGGGATGGTTAAACAGTAGCCGACGGAGGAGCGGTGAGGCTGGATGAACAGGAGCCCGTGGATGAACAGTCACAGGTGGAGGCTGGAGGAGGTCGACGGTGGATGAACAGTAACCCGTGGAGGCTGGAGGAGGTCGACGGTGGAGGTGAACAGTAGCCCATGGAGTCCCGTTTTGCGGTAAGCCACACCCCTCCCGATGAATGCTACCCCTTGAGTATGCGTTGGTTTTCCCTTAAAGAGGAAAGGGTGATGCAGCAAAGTAGTGTAAGTATTTCCCTCAGTTTTTGAGAACCAAGGTATCAATCCAGTACGAGACTACACACAAGTCGCCTAGTACCTGCACAAATAAATAAGAACCTTGCAACCAACGTGATAAAGGGGTTGTCAATCCCTTCACGACCACTTGCAAAAGTGAGATCTGATAAAGATAATAAGATAAATATTTTTAGTATTTTTGTTGTATAGATTGGAAAATAAAGATTGCAAAATAAACGGCGACAGAAATAGCTAGTTGACGGGAAACTAATATGATGTAAAGTAGACCCGTGGGCCATAGGTTTCACTAGTGACTTCTCTCAAGATAACATATATTATGGTGGGTGAACAAATTACTGCCGAGCAATTGATAGAAAAGCGCATAGTTATGATGATATCTAGGCATGATCATGAACATAGGCATCACGTCCGTGTCAACTAGACCGAAACGATTCTGCATCTACTACTATTACTCCAGACATCGACCGCTATGCAGCATGCATCTAGAGTATTAAGTTCATAAGAACAGGGTAACGCGTTCGGCAAGATGACATGATGTAGAGGGATAAACTCAAGCAATATGATATAAACCCCATTTTTTTATCCTCAATGGCAACAATACAATACAATACGTGCCTTGCTGCTCCTGCTGTCACTGGGAAAGGACACCGCAAGATTGAACCCAAAGCTAAGCACTTCTCCCGTTGCAAGAAAGATCAATCTAGTAGGCCAAATCAAACTGATAATTCGAAGAGACTTGCAAAGATATCAAATCATGCATATAAGAATTCAGAGAAGAATCAAATATTGTTTATAGATAATCTTAATCATAAACCCACAATTCATCGGATCTCGGCAAACACACCGCAAAAAGAATTACATCAAATAGATCTCCAAGAACATCGAGGAGAACTTTGTATTGAGATCCAAAGAGAGAGAAGAAGCCATCTAGCTAATAACTATGGACCCGAAGGTCTGTGGTAAACTACTCACACATCATCAGAGAGGCTATGGTATTGATGTAGAAGCCCTCCGTGATCGAATCCCCCTCCGGCAGATCACCGAAAAAGGTCCCCAGATGGGATCTCACGGGTACAGAAGGTTGCGGCGGTGGAAAAGTGGTTTCGTGGCTCCCTTGGATGTTTTCAGGGTATAAGAGTATATATAGGTGATGGAAGTAGGTCGGT